TACTTAAAATTTAAATTCTGTTTCCTGTCATTATTTGTATAAAAAACTGCACTGTGGTAGCTTGACCTGCCAAACAAGACAGGGAGAGAAAAAATGGTGAAAAACTCATGGGTCAAGATAAAGATATTTTGGCTGCAGAAGGCAGAGGGGCAAAAGTGTGTGGAGAGTTTTTTGGACAGAGGGGAAAGAAGAAAAGATGCTCAGAGGTCCATAGTGCCTTCTCATGTCTGGTCAGCAAAATCTAACAGGGGACAAGCCTCAGATCACTTCAGGCCCTCAGTGGCAAGAGGGATGGATTTATTCCATGTCCCATGCTTTGGGTGTCAGCTTGAAGGGCTCTACATCAATGTGATGGTGGAGGAGAACTCAAATCCTAAACAAAGGATCCAACCCCTCAACCTGTCAGCAGTGGTGAGACCAGCCTTGTTCCACATCCCCTGAAATACTGCACAGACACTGGGCCTGACTCATCCTGATCCTTCACAGACAGTCTGAGTCAAGTGGGTGATTTAGATCATGAGGGGAAGATGAATTTCCAGTGAGATAACTGATCTTCTTACCAGGATTTATGTGTGAACTTGCTAAAAGAGGACAGACCTGGAAGTGCCGTTCCCTGGGATGTGCAGTTCACAGCCAGAGGGATTGAAATGCCATCACAAGCCAAGATCTGTGCTCCCTGCTGCTCCATTTGCAGTCTCTTCAGACTTAAAGAGCTGCAGCTGTGTTCAAAAGGCCTGGTGCTCAGGCCTGTTGGGTCAGTAAGGGCTGGGACAGGAGGACATTCCTTGGAAGTGTTGGTTCTGCTCAGCCTGTGACCAGATGTTCTGTCTGTGAGGGTCACAGATGGAGCTGGGGGTGTTTGTGGAGCTCAGAGACCAGCCCTTCATCCCCCTCTGTACATGTTGGCACTGCCATTGCTCAGGATGTCAGCTGCAGGTTCCCCACCATGACAGTGGCAAGCTGCCACCCTGTGCCAGGGCTGTTGGGTGCCACCTGAGGGTTGGTTCTCAGCCCTGGGAGCTTTCTCCAGGCTGTTGCTGAAGCCTGTAGTGACAGTGACCTGAATTTTGAGTTGCAGAGGGAAGGTGATTCATGCCCCTGAGGCTTGTGCTTTGTCACCAGTGCCACAAGTGCCATCTGCCCTGGGATTGCTTGGCACTGACAGAGAGATGATCATGCAGGGATTGGAGTTACTGCTTGGACCACTTTTGGTCCAGGATTCATGAAGGTGGCAAAGTTAAGTGTTCCCTTTCAGGTGGATGTGTCCTTTATAGCCAAAATGTTGATTTTTTTGACCTCTGCCAGTTAACAAAGTCACACTAGAGCTGGTTGAACTGCAACAGAACTGTCCTTGTTATAGAATAAACATAGAATAAACATATAGAATGAATATAGTGCCTCTTGCTATAAAATAAAATCAGAGAGTCGTCAAATCCAGCCCTGCACTGAATATCACCATGCCCACTAAACCATGTCCCCAGCTGCCATTTCTGCCCATGTTTTGGACACTTCCAGAGGTGGTGACACCACCATTTCCCTGAGGAGTTTGTCCCAATGATTAACCACTCTCTCAGAAAAGAAATTTTTCCTGCCTGCCATTTGGGAAGACCCACTGGTGGCTGCCCTTCTCCCAAGCAGAACATGTTCATACAACCAACTGAGATTTGCAGTTTAATAGGTTTAGCCATCCTTTGAATTGCTGGCACCTTGCTTGATGCTTCCTATTTCTCCACATCCAAGTCCCAGTTCTGTGAGGGGAGCAGAGGAAATCGAAGTCCTTTCAGCAGATCTCCCACACATGATGTAAATAAGAAAGTGAAATGAGCCTGTGCTTATCCCTTTTCTCACACACACACTCACATCTGTGGAGTTTCAGCAATGGCCTTCACCAGCCCTGGCTTTGTGCACTTGGGGCTCCAAATGTTCACGTGGGCTGTGCATCTCACAAGCTTCCCCAGCTGATGATTGATCCTGCACTCCATTTATTTTAGTGTCAGAGCTGGGGGTGGAGAGTCTTTCAGTCTTCAAGAGCTCACTTCCTTCGCCAACTCCCACTCAGAGCAAAAAACTCCATCATTTTCCAGCTCTCTGGGGGTGGATTTGTCTGGGTTGCATTTGGCATTGAGTTCAGAGGTGCTCAGTGCCCCTGGAACAGGATGCTGGTGCTTCTGGAAGGAGTTTGGTGCTCTCTCTAAACCAGCAACCACTGCCTGCTGCTTGTGCATGTCCCCATTCTGCTTCCCTGGGGGTGCCCCAGCACCCAAGCCAGTGGGGACAGATGCAGAAAGGTATGATTTGATGTAACCCCACATTAAAAGGTCAAATATATTTTAAAAATTGAATTTTTTTACAGCAGTGGGACAAATAGACTAGGTGGCCCTGAGAAATTAACCCTCCACCATGCTACTGAAATACCAGCTACTCTCCTTTCTGTTCCCAAGTCCATCAATTGGTCTGCAGTCAATTTCTCCCTGAAATTAAACATTTCTTGGACTTCTGAAAGTCTCCTGATTTTTTCCTTTTTTCCCCTCTCTCTTTCTGCAACAGCCTCTCGAGCTTACCCGAAAAATCCTCCGGGATAAGCAGAACAAGAAGAATTCTGGGCAGCCCATTCCAGTATTTCCATCCTGGGTCTATGAGAGACCTGCACTCATTGGGGATTTCTTAATTGGCACCAGCCTAAGCACTGACACAACAGTACCAATAGGTATGTGAAACACAGGGGAAAATTGCATTCATTTGTGGTGTTTTGCCAGAAACAGAAATGCTGTCCAGATGTTCACACTCAGCAAAACTTGGCTCTTGGCACTTCTTTTCTTTGGGCTGTTTTCTGGTTATTTGAATATTTTGGTGGCAGGTTGGGGAAGTTGTTGGTGTGGGAATAGCTGGGCACTTTTGGGTGGCAGGATTTGCCTGCTGGATTTGGGTAGGGATGAGCAAAGGATTCTGTTTTCCAGGAAATCAAAGTACAAGACATAAACAGGTGGCACATTTTGTCCTTTTTTTGTCTTTTTTTTTTTTGTCTCCTCTTTGGGAGCAGGCACTTTGCCACTGGCCTCCCAGGAATCCATGATTGTGGAGGACTTGCTGTACGTGCTGATTGGAGTGGATGGCAGGTACATCACAGCACAGGCCCTGGTGGGCAGGCAGAACAGAGCCTTCTCACTTGATCCAAACCTGGACTTGTCCATCAAGGAGTTGGTGACCAGGATTCTTCCTGTGGCTGCCAGTTACTCTGCTGTCACCAGGTACTGAGCTGGGTTTTGTCAGGAGATCTCCTGTGAGAATAGAGAATCTGCCATTGTGTAGGTGTTAACTTCCATACTTAATTTAAACTAGAGGGTATAAAATGAGTGACAATTTATTTGGGTCAGTTTTAGCTCTGCTGGGTTTTTCCTCTGTGCTGCCAGTTCACTTTTTCATTCACACAGCTTTGTTCTTTCCAGTCTTAGCCTTGGTGATTTCAAATAAAATGCAGGTGTGGTGTATCTGCCTATTCTGGCTTCTCTTCCCACTCTGCTATGAAATTCCCCATATTTCCTGCTTTTTGCTCCTCTGTGGACATCCAGGACTGAGAGAACCTTTGTGTGCTGGTTCCACTTTCTACACAGTGCTTTTACAACAAACAAATGGTTCTAATTCCCTTGTGGCTGGAGAGGAAGCATCTTCCTACAGCTTTCCCTTCTAGGAAATGTGGGATGGGAAATAAAGGAGAGGGACTGGTGTGATTCCCAGCATGGGATCTACTGGTGTGCCTGCACAGTGTCCTGAAAGCAGAACTTCCTGAAAATGACACAAATTGCATTGTCTGACAGAGTTTTCATTTTGCTTTTTACAGGTTTATAGAGGAGAAGTCCTCCTTCGAGTATGGACAGGTAAATCATGCTCTGGCTGCAGCCATGAGGACTCTAATCAAGGAATACATGATATTAATTACCCAGCTGGAGCACCTTCAGAGGCAGGGCCTGCTGTCACTGCAGAAGCTGTGGTTTTACATCCAGCCCACAATGAGGACCCTGGAGATTCTGGCTTCACTGGGTAAATTTCCAGAATTTACAGGTTGTGGAAGCTGCAGGGTAGCCAAGCAGGCAGGGCATGTCCCATTTGGATTTCCTGCTTTATTGAAGAAGAAACCCCAGGGGAATTGTACTTGTGAGGGCACTGCACTTCTTGTGGAGAAGAGCACTCAGCTTCTAGGGGTGAATGAGCCTTTGGAGCTGTCAGGAGGCACCTCAGGGCCTTTTACCTTCACAGCCCTTGCCCTTCCCATCAGCTGGATCCATCACTGCTGCCTCTCCTCAGCTCCTTCCAGACTCTTCCCCAGCTCTGTGTGGTTATAATCCCTGGAAATTTCTATCCAGCCCCTTGCTTACAGCTACAGAGACAGCTTAGGGGGCCATGTCCAATCTGGGGATTTTATTTCAGGACTTTTCAGGTTGTAAGTTCTAATATTGTTGTTTTGTTTGTTTGTTTTTTAATTCCAGCTACTTCTGTGGATAAGGGTGAGTGTATGGGAGGATCAACCCTGAGCTTGCTCCATGACAAGACTTTCAATTACACAGGGGACAGCCAGGCTCAGGAGCTGTGCCTGTATTTAACCAAGGCAGCCAGCGTGCCTTACTTTGAAATCCTGGAAAAGTGGATATATAGAGGCATCATTAATGATCCATACAGGTAAAGAACAGTACAAAATGAAATTAAATGCAAAACTTCAGAAATTCTGATCTGCTTTGTTGAGTCTGTGTTGCCTGGGGGTCTGAAACAACCCTCTTGGAAGTTTTTTGGCTTTTGTAGAGTCATTTAAAGCATTTGGATGTATTTGATAGTTTATGCAGCATTTCTCTTTCCCACATTTTCAGAATCATAAGGTGGGAACAAAGCTGAAGGTAAAATATCTGAAATTAATGCCTTTTTGCTGGTGACAAAGGTGTTTCCTCACCCCTGCACTGACAAACAGATAATGTTTAGCCTTGGCTTATGAACCCTGTAAAATTCTGTTTCTCATTGCAGATCATCAGAGACACTGCATAGTGCTTTTCCTCTTGCTTCACAAACAGACAAATTTCAGTTCTTGATGGGATGTGTGCTCATGAGACCTTATTTCTGATAGATCCCATTGGCAGTTTGCAGGTCAAAACCAGTAATCCTCATTGTGCCACTTCCTGCCCCTAAACATCTGCTTTAACTGTTCAGTGAGTTCATGGTGGAGGAGCACGAGCTGCAGAAGGAGAAGATTCAGGAGGACTATAATGACAAGTACTGGGATCAGAGATACACTGTTGTCCAGCAGCAGATCCCCTCCTTCCTGCAGAAAATGGCTGACAAAATCCTAAGCACAGGTAGGTGCTTCTGCTGTGGCAGGAACCCTGAGACAAGCTGGTCTTGTGTGAGGAGAAGGGAAATGTCACCATGCCTTGCCACTTTATGGGGTTGTCCAGCTTAAATGAGAGCAATAGAAGAGTCAGATTTAAAAGGAATCCCAAACCCTATAAATGAAACAGCACAGGAGCCCAGCAGCAAGGGGAGCTGTCTGTCTCACTGCTGTTTTGTGAGCAGGTTTTCTGGCTGGATGGAGCTGAGCTTTGACTACCTGAGTGTTAATTTAAACATTCAACCTCTTACCCTTGTACAAAGCCCTCCAAAAGTGACTTCAAAAAAAGAGTTTCAGGCCACCTGCAGAGATGTTTTGTCACCACTGGGAAACCAAACCATTTCTAAATCTCCTTAAATGTGATACCAGCTGCCTATTTTAAAATTCTGTATCATCTTTTGAAAGGTGCCTAAATCCTTTCCACACAACTTTCAGCACAACACAGTGTAAACATTTATCAGCACATCTTCCTCTTGAAGGGAGTGGTGTGGAAGTTTCTCTGTTGGCTGTACAGCAGGGATGAATATGGGACATTCTTTCTTTTTCATTTCAGGCAAATATTTAAATGTTGTGAGGGAATGTGGGCGAGATGTCACCTGCCCTGTGGCCAAAGAGGTCATCTACACTTTAAAGGAGAGAGCCTATGTGGAGCAAATAGAAAAAGCATATAACTATGCCAGCAAAGTTCTTCTGGACTTCCTGATGGAGGAGAAAGAGCTGGTGGCTCACCTAAGGTTGGATTTATTTTACTAAATGCATGATAAATAGATTGGTTCTGCTAAGGGACATAAATTTTTGAAGTTAGCTCTGTTCTCTTGGGATATTACCAAGGTGTTCTCTCTATTTCCATTTAGAAAGGTTGACCTAAAAAATAAGAGGTGGATTTTGTTTTTTCCTGAAGAGGGAAAAAAAAAAGTTTAAAATGATAGAAATGTTGAGTGGGAAAGATGTTGGGGGGTCTCTGGTCCAACTTCCTTAGAGGGCTGTTGCCAAAACTAGGTCAGGGCTTTGTCTAGCCCAGATCAGGAGTGTGGAGCCACCCTGTGTTATGGCTGTGCTCCTGTTTTTGCTCCAAACCCTGCAGTTATCCTGAGTGATCTCTGGCCAGGCACTTGGTTAATCCTCAGGCTCATCTCAGAACTGCTTCCAAGCTCTGTGCCCACCACTGGGAACTCTCCCTGGTGCCAGGTGAACATCAAAGTTCATGTGTCCTGTTACAGCAAAAGTCTGCTGGATTTTAAAAAGCAACACAGATATTTGTTCACTGAGAGGAGTGCAGGATTCTGCTCACAATTGGCAGCTGCCCCTTGGCTGGAGCAGATCTGGGAGTTGTTCAGGACAGCAGTAGGAGCCTGCACACAACACACCCAGGAGATTTGGGGGTTTTTTTCATTTTTCTAGACAAAAAAACACCAGCAGCAGCCCTGATCTGACTGCACAGAAGTGTCCTGATTGAGGAGGTAAGGGGGAGGAGACATCCATAAAAGACTAATCTCCAAACTGGTTATTTATGGCTGTGTGCTCTCCAGAAAGAGAAACATTTTGTGCTCAAGCCCCCCAGGCTCATTTAATTGATTGCATTTCTTCCTTTAGGTTTGATATGGATTGCCTTTAAGAAAAGTCATCAATTATCTTTTCATTTTCTTGAGCAGATCTATAAAACACTATTTCCTGATGGATCAAGGGGACTTTTTTGTTCACTTCATGGATCTGACAGAGGAGGAACTGAAGAAGCCTGTGGATGACATCATAACAACAAGGCTGGAGGCTCTGCTGGAATTAGCCCTGAGAATGAGCACAGCCAACACTGATCCCTTCAAGGATGATTTAAAGGTGAGGATGGCTGGAAGCAGAAGATAAATTGATTTTGAGCAGAAGGTCTGGGAGATCTGTGTGCCTGTGAGACCCTGCTGCTGCCTAGGTTGGTGTGACAGCAGTGACTCTGACCTTGGGCACCTTGCTGCTGTTCCACAGCAGCTCTGGGTGTCCTGTGGCTTCATTTTCTTTCCTGCTCTTCCCTTACAGATTGACTTGATGCCCCATGACCTCATCACACAGCTGCTGAGGGTGTTGGCCATAGAAACAAAGCAGGAGAAAGCCATCATCAGTGCAGAGCCCACAGAGCTCACCCTCAGCGGCCTGGAGGCCTTTTCCTTCGACTACATTGTGAAGTGGCCTCTGTCCCTCATCATAAACAGGTAAGGCATCAATCCACTGAGGGAAAAACAGACTGGTACTCTCCCAAGAGGCCTTTCATGCAGGAATCAAACATTCCTCAAAGCTGGAGAGCAGAAGAAAACACACTTTCTGCTATCTCTGGTTGCAGACTCAAAGAATTCAGGTATTGCTTCTCTAACACGCTATTTTGCGTTTAACTGAGCTGTGAGGGTCCAAATGGAATTCTGCAGGAATTTGCTCCTTGTTTCCCTGGTAAAACTCTTCTGTGAGCCACAAGCAAATGGGAAAAGCAGAACTGAGTGAGCAGAGTGGCAGATTCCAAATTGCTGAATGCCAGCAATTAACTCCTCCCTTAATTTCCCCTCTAAAAATTCCTTTGAATCGGTGAGACTTTCCCAACGACGCGACGCTTTTGGGATTTTGTCTCTTCCTTCCCAACACAGTGTGTTAGCTCTGGTGGTAGCTATGGAAGTGAAAATAGGATTTTGGTAAGGTTTCCTGAACTGTATCGACTGGAGCTCTGCAGACACCTACGCCCAAGTGTCTGAGCACAGACCTGAATCCAGTCCCAGAGCTATAAATAAGCAGCCCCATCTGCTTGTGACAGTGCATTGCTGCTGGGGTAATGCTGCCTGGAGCTTGGTTACAGCTTTGCCTCCCCTTCTTTGGAAAATCTGGCTAAATTCTAAAATCCTGGTGAATTCTTGGGTGACCATCTCAGCCTTAGCATGGTGACCACAGTGTCTGAACCTTCCCTCCCAGCCCATGTGAGTGACCCCTGCCTGGAGCTGGAGGGAATTTAGGAGGCTGGTGATGAACCCACTGGCAGGAAATATGGAGGAGGGTCTCCTTGGAGAGGAATTCTTTGGGGGGGGGTTGCAAATGTGGCTCTCTTGCTTCGGTTCAGTGCAGATCTGTGTGTGTCTGAAGGCGTGAGGAGCATATTGTGTAAAGTCTCTTTACCTCTGAGCAGCCTCAGCCTTCACAGCTTGGTCTGTCAATCAGAGCAGGACTTCAAAATCTGGATGGGCTTCTCCTTTCTTTCCAGGAAAGCACTGACAAGGTACCAGATGCTTTTCAGACACATGTTCTACTGCAAGCACGTGGAAAGGCAGCTGTGCAATGTTTGGATCAGCAATAAGACAGCCAAACAATTCTCTCTGCATTCAGCTAAGTGGTACAGCTTTTTATTTGGTTTTTTTCAGTTTTGTGTCTCCTTCTTGCTAATTAGATACCTCATGACATAGCTCAGATAATACTGAGCTGAAAAAGATCCTTAAAAATGTCTTGCAGGCTCAGAGACATCAATTTGTAACATTTTAGGTTTCACTCAGTAGCTGTTTGTAAAGTTGCTTTAATATTTCATATCAAAATGTTAGTTTTATATGAGCAAATATTCAAAGCCTATGCCAGGTTCAAAACTCTGACTCTACTAATTGATGAAAAGCCATGAAAAATACTCAGAGCTGGTTTGCAGTGACTATAATCCCTCTCACACTGCAGCAAGGCATTTGCTAGGACAGAAATATTTAGCTCTGTGCTTGGCTGTGCAAGGCTGGTGCTAGTTCTCCGTGGCATTTGCTAGCTCTGAGCTGTGTGGGTGTGATTTCTCCCCTAGGTTTGCTGGTGCTTTCACACTGCGGCAGCGGATGCTGAATTTTGTGCAGAATATCCAGTATTACATGATGTTTGAAGTGATGGAGCCAACATGGCACATCCTGGAGAAGAACCTGAAGCTGGTGAGTGAAGTTGGAATGGAAGGCTTAACAAATGGAAGGCCTAATTTCAGTAACTGCAGCTGTCTGTTGGTTTTGTTGGAGGCATTAAAATATCTGGGAGCTGCTGTTCCTGCCACATTGCAGAGTGCTGCTGTTCTGCACCACCTTTCTGCTTGATTAGTCATACATCCCTTTCCTGTGCTGCATCCTCCTGTCTCACTCTGCTCCCTGTTATGTAAAGGCAGGTTCTGCTCAACATTCCCATCCACAGGAGAGAGAGAGCTGTGCAAAAGGAAGGTGGATGCAGAGTGCAAAGGTCATAAACCAGTCCAGGCATCTCCAGCTGATTCCTTGGCTGAGTTACAGTGCTCCTAAAGTAGAGCCTGTGCTTTCCCTTCCATGAAACTGCCAAGGACTGGCATGCAGAGAATGCTTGGTTTAAAAAATACCATTATTATCATCATCATCATCATTCCCTCTGGTAGTCAAGTCACCCTGTGATCAGACTTCTGGGTTGTGCATCTTTTTCCTCTTACACCCTGAAAAACACAAAACACTCCTCTGAGGTACCAAACCACCCAACACCCCTGCAGTCAGCTCTCTTGGCAGCTCTTGTGGCTCTTCAGCATCATCTGATCCTGCTTTAGTTTTTCCTGTGCCCCAAGGAGGTTTTGGGGGTCAGCTAGCCAACATTTTGATGCCCTGTCATGTTTTTTTCCTGGAGAATTCACAGGAGGGAGCAGGTCTAGGATTGTGAGTGTCTCTGCACATTCTTGGCAGAACTTCTGAATGAGAAGAGTTCATATGTCAAGCTCCTGGATAATCTGGGAATTGTACTTATTTCTTAATTTTGTTGCAAGTTTAGGTTTGCAAAATGTATCATTCAGTTTACTGTACTTGCATGGAAGCTGTTGTTGAAGTTATCCTGTCCCTGTTTTCTCCTTTAATTTGTATTTTAGGGGGGAAAAGGATGATCCTCACTGGTCTCATGTAGTGCCTTATGGTGCATTTTATTTGTCACACTTCTCTCTTCCTAAAGTTGTGGCTGGGATCTTCATCTTCATAACATCAGTGTCTTCATCAACACAATTTCATCATCATCTTCATTAGAAAGCTGCATTTATTCCTGTTCTGCAGTAGCTTAAAGGGATGTGGTGTTGGAATCCAAAATGCAGGGAATTCTCAGAACTTTGGGCTTGTAAACTAAAGCTTAGAATTAAAGACAGGATTTGATCTGAGATCTTGGAAAAGGCTTCGAAACTCAGGTGCTAGAAGTGAGAATGTGGATTTATAGTTTAAAGCAGAGACATGTTAAGCTAAGTAGAGAAAAGTTTAGAGTTTTAGAGTTTAAGTATAAATGTACTTATAATACATTAATATTAATAAATATAAATAATAAATAATATTTGTTATTATTAATAACTAATAAAAGTAGTTACAAGGGTAAACAAAAATAAAATAGATAAAAGTAGTTACAAGGGTAAACAAAAATAAAATAGATAAAAATAGTTACAAGGGTAAACAAAAAGTTTAAAATGCAGTGCTGTAGGTTTGTGTGTCATAACATGATTGCCTAAGAAAGCTGTAGCATGAGTCCATAAGACAAAAATATTTAAGGAGTGGGTCAAAAACATAAATAGCCTTGTTAGCAGTGTTTTATTGGTCAATAAATCCTTGAAAGATCTTGTAACTAGGGGTCTTGTAACCTTCTAAACCATACAATAAAAATGTGAGCCAAACTCACCCTTCCTACCTATGTAGAAAATAAGAAATATAAACCACATCATCTGAAAACTCAGAAATCCCATCTCTAACTCATTCAAAATTCCTTCCAAAACCCCCATAGTGTGGAAGGGGTTTCCTGCACTGGTCCTGCTGGAGCAGTGTGGATGCTGTGGCAATTTTAGTCCTGTGGTTCTTTCCTAAGCTTGATTTGTGTTCTGAGCTTCAGCACTGTGCAGAGTGAGAGGGAGTTTTAATCTCTCATTCAAAACTCAAGACTGAAACAGCCTGTTGGAGTAGCAGAGATGAACAAAAGTCTTACAGAATCCTCCCAACACTGCATGTCCCAGCTCCTTATTGGCTCCTAAAGCATATTTCTGAATAGCCTGTATGTTTTAATGATAAGCTTATTGACATTTAAGATTCTTCAATTTGTTTTTCCCTTTTGCTCTTGTTTTCACTGACTTTACTGAGATGTGAAGGTGGGAGTGACCATGACAAGCAGATTTAAAAACAAAGGAAATGCAAGTTCATGAAGCAGATAACTCCATCCTTTCATGGGGAGGGCTTGGGTGATCAAAGCAAGCATTTTGTGGGCAGTGAAGGGTGCTGGGCTGCAGCTTTGGGGCAGAGCATGGTTTGGTTTGTCATTTTTGGGCTGTCCTGTCACAGGCATCCAACATTGACGATGTCCTGAGCCACCACACCAGCTTCCTGGACAACTGCCTGAAGGACTGCATGCTCACCAACCCAGAGCTGCTCAAGATCTTCTCCAAGCTGATGTCTGTGTGTGTCATGTTCACCAACTGCATGCAGGTGTGTACAGCCCCCCTGTGTCACAGTCCCTGTGCCACCCCACATGGACTTGTCTCTGTTCCCTCTGTCTGCAGCTTCAGGGCTTGACAACTCACACCTCTCCCAAATGGTTTCTCTGGCTTCTTACTCCACAAAATCCTCCTTTTTCCATGCTGAGATCAGGTTCATATGGACCAAATTCCCTCTGTTGAGGTGTAAGTTGTAGGGCTCTGTAGAGATCTCTCTTGAGGGTGAGGTGAGGGGTGCATTCCAGCATGAGGGAGCCCACACAGCTTTTCTAAAATTCACTTTCCAGTGGGTTGTGAGAGATCTGTGTACCAGCATTGAAAAGACAGGTGTCTGCTAAGGAAGGCAGGAGCTTCCTTGAAATGGAAAATGGAAACCTCTTCGCTCTGAATTATTGTAATTTTGAGATTAAGAGGCTCTCAGGCAAAGATATGTGAGCAGGAATAACAGTTCTTTACTAGGAAAATTAAAATGCAAATGCAATAGTACAAAAAGATAAACAGAGCCAGACCATGCCCTGCCCCCTGTGTGTCAGGGGGTGTCCCAGCCCCATCCATGGGGGCTCAGCCCTCCTGCAGTGCC